TTTCTGATTGGCTGATGTATCATGCGTATCATGCGTGATGTATCATCTCAAATTTCTAGTGCTTTGCACTAGTAATCGGCTTTAGTTTTTTAAAAATATTATTGTTCTATATTCTATCAACCTTTCGTAACACCTTGTCGAATAACAGTACACAAAATAGATTGTTAATTTCTTTAGCAAAAATTGACATTTTACGAAAAGCTTAGAGGTAACTGTTCACAACTTTTGGCACTTTTTGAGCACTATTTCGAGATTTTGAGCACTTTTTGAGCACTTTTTAGCCATTTTTGCCAGCACTTTTTTGGGATTTTACGAGCGCAATCGGGAAAGGCCTAACTTCTATCCGTAACGTTTGCGATCCAAGCTATTTTTAGAAGGATTTGTATGGATTCATCGGAGGTTAACGGTGCTTATATCTTAACCCCAAACTCATGTTTTAAAATCAAAATCTAACAAATCATAGCGCAGGTTCTATCCCACCCTCTAGTCTAGGGTTAATTTTATTTAAATGCATTTCTTTCAACATCATTAAAATTTGCACCTTTAATGTAAACATTGCAAACATAAAAATAGCTATCCAAGTGTTAGGACCTTGGAAGAAATGGGACCCTGATCTGCCGATTGCCGTTTCGTTTGGTAAATCATTTCCACAGGAGAACGTGCATGGATTAGAGCTCAAGCCACTGAAATTCTTTACGAAGGCACAAAAATGCTCATCCAATAAACCTTTTATTCACGATACCCGCAATCTTTGTACGCGCCTACGGACTGATAGGATAAAAATAATGTCACGTGGTTTCTCAGGGGGCAAACAAGTGATAAAATTTGCCAAGGCAAGAAATCGTGGTCGAGTTTGTATATTCTAGCCAACAGAAAATGAAGAACTTTTTATCTTAAGGACGATAATGGAAAATTATGGGTGGAAATCATCATTGTTATTTTTTTAGATGCAGTTAGGGAAAATAAACAAACTCGACCGCGATTACTCGTATTAGCAAATTTTGTCACTTGTTTGCCCCCTGAAATACCACGTGACATTACTATTATCCCATCAATATCCTAAAGGGTTAGCATTAGGTAACATCGGCTGAAGTCAGATTGCTTCTTTCAGTGAAATTACATGAAGAGCAACTTAGTCCAACTTTACTGTGTAATATAAAAGTGAAATAGAAAAACTCCACTGTGATGCTTTGAACCCGGGTCACTTGCTATATAGCCTACATCCATATCCACTACACCATCGACGACTAGCTGCCAAATCCAGTAATTTTTAAAATATACATGTTCTTATATATGCCCTTGGTACCCCATTACAATATTTGAAAGCTAACCGTTTTCTGTTCAGTGCTTAACCCTAATCACTGCAGATCAGTGCTTAACTCTCTACTGTGTTCTCTCCATTCCAGTCTCGTCCATTATGAAAATAATGCGTTGTGTAAAATTCATAAGGTGTCCAATCTGGCTTCACTCGATGTTATCTAATGCTAACCATCCTAAAGCGCGTGCAAAGATGGCGGGTAACGTGAATAAGGTCTATAATTAAAAACTGAATCATTGGATAACGCAATTCTAGAGCTCTGATTGGCTTAGCCATCTAAGCTGGTATATGAGCCATTATACCATGCTCTTCAAATATGGTAACTGTACGCGTCTGCTAACAAAAAATCGGTTGTCTTTACAAATAAAGTCGGGAAGAATTCTCACGATTTATTTGACGTTTTTTAATGAAACAATTATTCCACTCGCGTTTGTTGGATATGAGACGATTATAGCCAACTCGTCGCTACGTGCCTCGTTGGCTACTGCCATCTCATTTCCATCTTGCTATAAGTCAGTGTTAATATCAATCTCGATCAAAATTAGTTATTAAGGGAGCAAGCAGGTGCTTCGTTTATTAATTTGTGTTCCCGAAGGTTCTCTAAAAGAAAAATTAAAATTAACAATTTTCATTGTAGATAATACTGAATAAAAGAAAGTAGTATTGAAAAGGTCTGTGGATGAGATTTTTATTTACTGGCAGCCTAATAAGATTTCGTGATGGGCTCCTGATTTCGTCGAAGACTTTTAAAAATGTCAGAACTATATACAATAATATGTCTTCAGTTTAAATTGCAATTCTGGATCGGAGTAGCCGAGCCTTTCAATCATCTATTTAAACTAGCTGAAGAGCAAACAACAAAAATATATTTTCGATGCATTTTTATTAGGAGAATTTTAACAGGCTTCACAGAGAAATTAATTACAAGCTCTTTTACATTATTATTTCTTAGTAACAAGCAGCGCGTTTGCTTGATCTTTTTTTAACATTATCTGAAAAACCAAGAGACGATAAAATGTGCAACAATTCTGTCTTTTTTCACGTCAAAATTACTGCTCATGATTGGGAACGACGCGCGATTTTTATCTCCATATTGCCAAAAGTTCGCAAACAACAGAGCAATTGTAATATAGGCATTAAGTTTGTGTGTCTAGGTGCCTCGAATCTTGATTAAAAAAGTACCAACAAATTGACAGCTTCTGTCTTTCTAGAAATTTATCGCATTCATGTAATTTGACATATGGAAAAATTTATCTTGTACAGCGATAATTTCAGGTTCACAGAGTACTAATGAGCGTTTGTTTTTGGCGTCTAACCCGCCAATCTCCATTAATACTTGGCGATTGAACGAACGATCGAACGCTAAATTGACACCCTCTTCAAATTTCTCGGAATTTTTAATGGTTTACCCGGTAGCTTACGATAGATTCATGAAAAACATACAGACCGTCTATACTGAAAAGAACTGGGTGTGAAATGTATTTCTGTAGAATTGTGACACTTTAGTCTTCCCGTGAAAATGATCGCACCAAATAAATTTACTTCACTGGGGATTCAGAATCTTGACATTATTTTTTAAAACTCCAAGGGGTTTTCAAACGGATAAGAACTGAAACAAAGGTTAAGTAGACCAGTGTTACAACGTTTTGTCACTATAACAATATCGCAGTTAAATCCTCTTGTCGATTGAAAGAGGTCACCTGCTTGCTCGGAATTAATTCAATTGCAAAAACAGAACGCAAAAGGAATATCAATTTTCCTTTAGAAGTTTCGCTCAATCCAGCCTTTCATGTGCTTGAGGATATCAGTTGCTGTTAGTTCTCCAGTTTATTTTCTTATAAAAGTGCCGAGAAAGAAATTCTTCTCACATTTTGCGATCATTCTGAGTAATTGTCGAATATGCGAAGACCACGTTTCTGTGAATTGTTTACATAGAAGACCTTTAAGACGCTTCGTTTTGCGGGACAGTTCCTTTAAAGATCTCGTCGTCTTGAAATCGCCAGATCATTACAATATCGTTAGTACAATTCTTCTGAAAAGTTGTCCTCTAAATAGCTGGCCATCATTTCTCCCCGAAGCTGTAATTATACACCTGCACAAAATCACCGCGAAATTCGTCACCGAGTGCTTTGTCCAGGGGGCAAAACCGTCCAATTTTTCGAGTGGCAAAATTTCACCGCCTTCTTTCCCTCCTCGAATTCTTGAAGTGTCTGTTTTGAATTCGTTACAATTGCGAGACAAAATAACTCAGCAAAAAGCAAAAGGCAGAAACGTGGTACCATAAAGCAATGGCACCGACAAAAAGCCCAAACGCCATATTGAGTGAAACGACAACAATAAACTCCTTTGTGGAACAGATGATTGTTTTGTTTGGCTATTGGTAGAGTAGAGGCCTGGTAATGATATTCTATCACGCATGTCTACTACTGCCGCTGACTGCCGGCAGATCACCGGCAAAAAAGTTAATTCTTATCATCTGTTTGCAAGGATTTCTTTACTTTTTTAAGCCTGATGAGAGCGATCATTCAACGTGTCACAGCTGCAAGTGTTTCTGGTTTGTATTTTGTGGCAATTTCTTTATTTTTTATGTGCTGTAAACATTTCTTATAGGCCCGATCGAGCCCGATACAGTTTACACATGGGCTATTGCATTTAATATCCGTACCCCCCCTCCCCGCGTCCCCGGTTGAGGACTTTGTTTTTGTTACCTTTTCTTCCTATCCCTGAATATATAGTCCTTCTTGGAGCACTTGAAAACAACAGTTTGTGCAAACAGAACGTATTATGGGGGATTCCAAAATAAAGATTGGTCAACCTCTTACCCTTTTATGTACCATTTTTAACAGAAAAGGTACCCCTTTCGTAGACCTTCTTTTGACCAATGGTACCCCTACTAACACCTAGTTAAGAACTTTGCCATATTCCTTTAACTGCCATAAATGCACTGTCATTTAAATATGAATAAATAAATTGGAAAAAAACAGAACGTTTTCTGGACTATTTCACAGCCATTAAATATGCTTGCTAGCCCTTTTAGACCATTTTACAGCCCTTTCATCAACTTAACTGGTGAAATCCCTACCCTTTCATTTTCCTGAAGCATGAAATAGCTACCACTCTCGGGCATACCTCCCCATAAATGCCATTATAGGGAGCATAGGCTAGGAATAGGAGTTGCACACTTCAGTTGATGGGCTCCTGTCTGTAGCATTTTCTTAGGTGCTCAAGTGGGTACTTTTGTACAGGTAGCTATGACCCTGATGTCCCTTAAGGGTGAAAATGAATTTGAGCCATGACCACAAAAACAACTCTGGTGCCCTCAAAGGGTGTTTTTGAATTTTTTCAATGAGCACCCTGGTAATTTCTATTGACGGGGCAGGACAGGGGCCCAATCCTTCTTTCTCTTGACCTAGCATTCCTGGCTCCCACCCATTTTTCTTGGCTTCCTCCCTCTTAGCCCTTTTCAATCGCAAAATATAATAATTATTGTTCCAGGAACTGAACCAAATCTTTTCCCTTTTGTGGACCTCTTTTGTGCCATATTCACTCAAAATAATAGCAAGAGCAATAGCAATTTGTATTCGTTAATGGTGACATGTCTTTGCGCAAACGTCATGTTTTTGTTGCGCTACTTTTTGTGCTTAAATGTTTTACAAAATCTTTCGTTTAAATATCAGATAATTTTTCTCATTTTTATCTGTTCAATTTTTTTGTAGTCGATGGTGAAGTAATCAGCTCCATTGGAAAAGGACTCTGTGTGTTGGTTGGAATATCTAAATATGACACCTCAAAAGAAATTGAATACATGTGAGTCAAAATGAAACAATATCACCTCTTGAGAGCAAGGGGATGGTGCAGTGGTGAGAGCACTCACCTCCAACCAATTAAGGCGTGGGTTCAAATCAAGGCGTGAATGCCATATGTGGGTTGAGTTTGTTGTAGAACTTCTCTACTTTGCTCCAAGAGGTTTTTGTCTGGCTACTCCAGTATTTTCCTCTCCTCAAAAACTAAGGGTGAGTTCGATTGAGCATACTGTTGCAAATTTCTTGTACCATGATTTTTGGACCGCCTAAATACTACATATGTCGGAATATTTTATTTCAAGCAGATTTACAGACATTGAAGTGTATTAAATGCCAAAACAAATGATTTCTGAAGTTTATTCCATTCATTCTTATTCTGGAATATTGTCAATCGAACACTCCCTAACATTCCCAAATTCCAATTCAACCTGGAATGGTAGACAAAGAACCACCACTTGGATGCCCTTCCCTTTAAATTATTATTTGTTTATTTATTTATTTATTTTTTATTATGTATTATTGGATGAATGCTTAACCCAAAAAAATCAACTAACTAAAAAAGCAATACCCAGAAATAAATTGTCCTACTATTTATTACGGAGTCTGAAAAGCCTGGTTTGTCTTTTGAAGGGTGAGAAAAATTCTAAACTTAAGGGTCTTTGATGACAATGGACAACGATGGAAAAAGTCTGTGGTGGATAAAAATCTTGAAATTTTGTGTGTGAGTCAGGTATGAGCTACATACATTCCATACTTTTTTATTATTATTATCACTTTTTATTTTTAAATTATTGTTGTAAAGCACCATGAACAACTAGTGGATGTGTGCACTATATAGAAGTGTCTTGTTATTATTATTATTATTACTATTAACTACACCTGTATGTCAAGTTGAAACTTGGGACACTTAGCATTAGACACACGTACAACTAGCCAGTGAGACCAGCTGTCATAGGGAGAATTTCACTGTTAGTCAGGACTTTCCAGCCATAATGATAACAGTCTATTCCTAAATAGCTTGAACAGCAGTGATGGGTTTTAGTAAAAACTCTTGGGAAATGCCTATTGCATTTTCAAAATGACCAGTCCATTTGGCCTTTTCTGATTTTTGGTAAGCACCCTGAGAGAGATTGTTTAGGTGTTAAGAATAGCTTTGCCATTACAGTCACCTGTCCCTGAGACATAAACCACCGGGTTCATTACTAAGGGCCTGTCTTACAGAGCTGTGTTACCTCGGGTGGGGGGAGGTACAGGGTGAAAGGGTAAGGGATTGGAGAAGGAAACATCTGAAAGGTAGTTCTGTTAGTTGCCGAATGGAAATTCTTGTTCCATTTCTTCAAAGCCATCTTTGATACCAGTTTCAGGCTTTCACAGCCGTTTTTTGGTAAATGGAACTGATTTGTATAAATTTGTTCAAGTTTGTACAAACACGATTCGGGACGACATTTACCAGTCCTGAGTTTGCGTACCATTTTCCCAAACCGTGTTCTGACCGGTTTGCCCATGAAATGAAGCCCGCGAGCAAACTCTCCATTTTATAAGGCGAGCGAAGCCATACGCGAGAGAACGCGCGAGCGAACAGTAAAGCCTCTCGCGCTCGCGTCTCCTTTCGCGTGCTACTCTCGCGTGACTTCTCGCGACTCCCCTAAATGGAGAGGAGCCTACTCGCAGGCTAATGTTAATAGAGACCTTTAGATTTGAGGAAGAGAACGAGTACGAGTGCTAGATTTGATTTAAGGTTTTTCACGTATTGTCAAAAAATAGACACCCCGGAATTCTTCATTGTACTTTTTTCACCAGAAAAGTTAGCACTGTTATCGTTATTGAAGGAGGTTGAGACCTCTCCCGATTGCAAAATGCTGAAACTTCTAACATTTGATAACTTGTTTCCGCCACTACGACACTCTCGCTAATACTCATAGTAGAATGACGACGGCTACCACGTTTTCCCGCCAAAATAGGCTGATTTAGCAAAAGAACGGGAACGTCAGTTGACGACGGAGCGCGCAAATCAAACAACTGGCTTAAACAATGACAGAGGGGCAAATTGGGCTCCGGAGGTCGTGTTTAGTCTTCTCCGCGCGCTTTCCCGTCGTCAACTGACGTTCCCGTCTTATCGCTAAATCAGCTTAATGATGCTGGCTCACGCGCGAGCACTACCTTTTATTGAGAAAATCTCGTACTCGTAGTCGTTCTCGTCTTAGAATCTAAAAGGTATCTAATGGTAAACAATTGGAAAGTACCCCGGATTTAGGCGTGATCATTTTGTTTCATTAGTTCACTCTACAAGCGGTTCTCAAGGGAAATAAACCAGATTACCACTTAGCTATGGGTGGAGATCAGAGTGAGACATTTTATCAAGATTTTCTGCAGCACATGAGATCAACATACAGAGTTGATGCGGTAAAAGGTAGAAATTTCCAGAAGTCTTTTCCCTATAGATGCAGTCGAACCTTCGCTAACGGCCAACTCTATACAACGGCCACTTTTTTTCGTCCCGGCAGACAAAAATCCATACATTGACTCTAGTTTTAGCCTCTCCGCAACGGTCACCTCTTTACAACGGCCACTTTCTTCTGTTCCCAAGTTGGCCATTGTAGAGAGGTTCAACTGTAATCATTTAAAGTATCTTTTAGGGATTCTTCCATGAGCTTTCTAAGTATTTCCATCTTAAGCTTCCTAAGCGGAAGGGCACCAACTTTTTGATTTTCCGACTGAAATTTCCAGTTTGCCAAAAATGAATGTAAATAGTTAGCGTGCGTACCGTTTTCTTTTAGCTAAGCGCCGCGGGAGAACTGGGAAAACGTGCGCAAGGGTGAGTAAAAAAGTAGAAGCAAGAACCACCTTCTTAATCTACCCCACTTCAATTTTTTAGCCCCTTTCTTGTGTGTCTCCTGGAAACGGAAAAAAACTGGTCAGTAAATAGGAAGTTCACAAATTCACTTGTGTCTTTCTTTGTGTCTGTGTCGCAAGTGAAAATTAGGCTTAAATCATCCTATATTTCTATATATTAATATGCAGTAACTTTACTTTTCTGTTCAGATGGAAAATTTGGAGCGTATATGCAAGTTCACATTCAAAATGACGGTCCAGTTACAATATCATTGGAAACGCCTCCCTCGAAACCGGCCCCACAAAACAAGGTGAGTTCATGCTAGTATCACCGTCTATTTCTGGGAATGTGCACTTCCCTTTCACCTTGGTGTGTCATCATCCTCCTCATCATCAGGGATAGGCTAACTTTCTAGATCTCACCAGGAGACATCTAAGTCTCCACCCATAATAGTAGATGGGATATAGTTTCCCCTAAGGCAAGGTAGTAGTGCCACGTAGCGGTTAGCTGCGAGTAAGCTCTCCATTTTGGAGTCCTCTTAAAAAATCACGCGCGAGTGGTACGCGAAAGGAGGAGCTTTGCCGCTCGCTTGGTGTTCTCTCGCGAACGTTAGCTCAAGCTACAGAAAGGCTATCCCTGGGTGCTAGAAGTTTATATTTTCTTCTCGTACACGTGCAGCGGAATGTTTTGGGGAGTCGGCTTGAGGTCGACGTATGTTCGGCCGAGGGCCGAACCAACGAGTCAATAAGGAATAAGGAATACTTGGGAACTTGCTTTAACTTTTTCTGTGTGTGTGGATATCATATTATAAAAATATGGCCATGCATTCTAAATTTAACAGCTGTAGGCCTAATTATACGGGAAACCCGTTTGTCTTCACGCCGACGTTTTTCACTAAGTATGTGCTTCGAAAATAATTAACAATAAGTCAGCTGTGAGGTGAAGCTTCTCTTGATCTTTTCTCTTGTTCTTAGGGGAAAAGAAACCCAGGCGAGGGTGAAGGCAGTTCAACCAGCGCTGCCGATAAGGAAAAGGAGGAACAACTTAATGATTTGAGTAAATTGAACTTGGACGAAAAACAGGGCAGCTCTTGACGGATGATAGACTCTCTATATGAACGTTTGTATTTTTCGTCTGTTTCACGAAATTAAAAAGAAAAGAAACATTTTCTTTCCTGGTTGCGAAAATTATCTCCATCACGGAAACTATTCGTATTATTCGAACAGTTAGATTAAAGTAGAATAGATAGATTATTGGAGTGCGTTTGATGGAGTGTAAGGGACACAAAGTATTCTTCGCTTTCCTACTTGGTTACACAGGATACCCATGAAACCACAGGATAGCTTTCTGATCAGTGAAGAGTTCTGTGACGTGCTCGAGTTTTGTAAATTTTTTAATCGCTTGTACAGCTGGCGGTTTCGTTGCCTGCGCATTGAAGAAATGGGACATTCGCAGCCCGTTCTCGTACCTTTGTGGCCACGTTTACTTCATCATCAGCTTCGTTCTCCAACGAGACCGCCTGTTTAAAGATGTGCAATTTTGGAAGGGAATTAATAACGTGGTAGTTAACTGATCATCCGATGACGACGACAATGATGACGATGAAAATTAGTTGGATATGAGATTAGTTGTTGATAACTGACTGCAATAAAAATTGACTGTGTCAGGAAATCAGAGACTATCAGATCAGTTGAAGTACCATTGAATAAAGTTTATTAATATTTTTATCGTTTTAATTTGACAAAAGGATGGGGTATTAATGGCCTAGCCTGCGCTGCAAGCGTTAAAGGAAAAAGGGATGGGGGAATTCGGGCACGCGAGGAGCGCGAGGGACGCGGGAAGAGGGGGCAAGGGGAATTCCTCGCGCACCCGCGCGCTCTCGCGCGCCTCATTTCCCCCTACCCCTTTCCTCTTTTAACGCCTGCCACGCGGCCTATTAATGTCCTTGAGGTGCGGAGCATTTTACAACGCAAGCAGTGAGGGCTAGTTAACAGGCCAATCCCGAGTTCTAAAAACTTTCACTTTCAAAACATGTCTTTTGAAGGGTGAGAAAAATTCTAAACTTAAGGGTCTTTGATGACAATGGACAACGATGGAAAAAGTCTGTGGTGGATAAAAATCTTGAAATTTTGTGTGTGAGTCAGGTATGAGCTACATACATTCCATACTTTTTTATTATTATTATCACTTTTTATTTTTAAATTATTGTTGTAAAGCACCATGAACAACTAGTGGATGTGTGCACTATATAGAAGTGTCTTGTTATTATTATTATTATTACTATTAACTACACCTGTATGTCAAGTTGAAACTTGGGACACTTAGCATTAGACACACGTACAACTAGCCAGTGAGACCAGCTGTCATAGGGAGAATTTCACTGTTAGTCAGGACTTTCCAGCCATAATGATAACAGTCTATTCCTAAATAGCTTGAACAGCAGTGATGGGTTTTAGTAAAAACTCTTGGGAAATGCCTATTGCATTTTCAAAATGACCAGTCCATTTGGCCTTTTCTGATTTTTGGTAAGCACCCTGAGAGAGATTGTTTAGGTGTTAAGAATAGCTTTGCCATTACAGTCACCTGTCCCTGAGACATAAACCACCGGGTTCATTACTAAGGGCCTGTCTTACAGAGCTGTGTTACCTCGGGTGGGGGGAGGTACAGGGTGAAAGGGTAAGGGATTGGAGAAGGAAACATCTGAAAGGTAGTTCTGTTAGTTGCCGAATGGAAATTCTTGTTCCATTTCTTCAAAGCCATCTTTGATACCAGTTTCAGGCTTTCACAGCCGTTTTTTGGTAAATGGAACTGATTTGTATAAATTTGTTCAAGTTTGTACAAACACGATTCGGGACGACATTTACCAGTCCTGAGTTTGCGTACCATTTTCCCAAACCGTGTTCTGACCGGTTTGCCCATGAAATGAAGCCCGCGAGCAAACTCTCCATTTTATAAGGCGAGCGAAGCCATACGCGAGAGAACGCGCGAGCGAACAGTAAAGCCTCTCGCGCTCGCGTCTCCTTTCGCGTGCTACTCTCGCGTGACTTCTCGCGACTCCCCTAAATGGAGAGGAGCCTACTCGCAGGCTAATGTTAATAGAGACCTTTAGATTTGAGGAAGAGAACGAGTACGAGTGCTAGATTTGATTTAAGGTTTTTCACGTATTGTCAAAAAATAGACACCCCGGAATTCTTCATTGTACTTTTTTCACCAGAAAAGTTAGCACTGTTATCGTTATTGAAGGAGGTTGAGACCTCTCCCGATTGCAAAATGCTGAAACTTCTAACATTTGATAACTTGTTTCCGCCACTACGACACTCTCGCTAATACTCATAGTAGAATGACGACGGCTACCACGTTTTCCCGCCAAAATAGGCTGATTTAGCAAAAGAACGGGAACGTCAGTTGACGACGGAGCGCGCAAATCAAACAACTGGCTTAAACAATGACAGAGGGGCAAATTGGGCTCCGGAGGTCGTGTTTAGTCTTCTCCGCGCGCTTTCCCGTCGTCAACTGACGTTCCCGTCTTATCGCTAAATCAGCTTAATGATGCTGGCTCACGCGCGAGCACTACCTTTTATTGAGAAAATCTCGTACTCGTAGTCGTTCTCGTCTTAGAATCTAAAAGGTATCTAATGGTAAACAATTGGAAAGTACCCCGGATTTAGGCGTGATCATTTTGTTTCATTAGTTCACTCTACAAGCGGTTCTCAAGGGAAATAAACCAGATTACCACTTAGCTATGGGTGGAGATCAGAGTGAGACATTTTATCAAGATTTTCTGCAGCACATGAGATCAACATACAGAGTTGATGCGGTAAAAGGTAGAAATTTCCAGAAGTCTTTTCCCTATAGATGCAGTCGAACCTTCGCTAACGGCCAACTCTATACAACGGCCACTTTTTTTCGTCCCGGCAGACAAAAATCCATACATTGACTCTAGTTTTAGCCTCTCCGCAACGGTCACCTCTTTACAACGGCCACTTTCTTCTGTTCCCAAGTTGGCCATTGTAGAGAGGTTCAACTGTAATCATTTAAAGTATCTTTTAGGGATTCTTCCATGAGCTTTCTAAGTATTTCCATCTTAAGCTTCCTAAGCGGAAGGGCACCAACTTTTTGATTTTCCGACTGAAATTTCCAGTTTGCCAAAAATGAATGTAAATAGTTAGCGTGCGTACCGTTTTCTTTTAGCTAAGCGCCGCGGGAGAACTGGGAAAACGTGCGCAAGGGTGAGTAAAAAAGTAGAAGCAAGAACCACCTTCTTAATCTACCCCACTTCAATTTTTTAGCCCCTTTCTTGTGTGTCTCCTGGAAACGGAAAAAAACTGGTCAGTAAATAGGAAGTTCACAAATTCACTTGTGTCTTTCTTTGTGTCTGTGTCGCAAGTGAAAATTAGGCTTAAATCATCCTATATTTCTATATATTAATATGCAGTAACTTTACTTTTCTGTTCAGATGGAAAATTTGGAGCGTATATGCAAGTTCACATTCAAAATGACGGTCCAGTTACAATATCATTGGAAACGCCTCCCTCGAAACCGGCCCCACAAAACAAGGTGAGTTCATGCTAGTATCACCGTCTATTTCTGGGAATGTGCACTTCCCTTTCACCTTGGTGTGTCATCATCCTCCTCATCATCAGGGATAGGCTAACTTTCTAGATCTCACCAGGAGACATCTAAGTCTCCACCCATAATAGTAGATGGGATATAGTTTCCCCTAAGGCAAGGTAGTAGTGCCACGTAGCGGTTAGCTGCGAGTAAGCTCTCCATTTTGGAGTCCTCTTAAAAAATCACGCGCGAGTGGTACGCGAAAGGAGGAGCTTTGCCGCTCGCTTGGTGTTCTCTCGCGAACGTTAGCTCAAGCTACAGAAAGGCTATCCCTGGGTGCTAGAAGTTTATATTTTCTTCTCGTACACGTGCAGCGGAATGTTTTGGGGAGTCGGCTTGAGGTCGACGTATGTTCGGCCGAGGGCCGAACCAACGAGTCAATAAGGAATAAGGAATACTTGGGAACTTGCTTTAACTTTTTCTGTGTGTGTGGATATCATATTATAAAAATATGGCCATGCATTCTAAATTTAACAGCTGTAGGCCTAATTATACGGGAAACCCGTTTGTCTTCACGCCGACGTTTTTCACTAAGTATGTGCTTCGAAAATAATTAACAATAAGTCAGCTGTGAGGTGAAGCTTCTCTTGATCTTTTCTCTTGTTCTTAGGGGAAAAGAAACCCAGGCGAGGGTGAAGGCAGTTCAACCAGCGCTGCCGATAAGGAAAAGGAGGAACAACTTAATGATTTGAGTAAATTGAACTTGGACGAAAAACAGGGCAGCTCTTGACGGATGATAGACTCTCTATATGAACGTTTGTATTTTTCGTCTGTTTCACGAAATTAAAAAGAAAAGAAACATTTTCTTTCCTGGTTGCGAAAATTATCTCCATCACGGAAACTATTCGTATTATTCGAACAGTTAGATTAAAGTAGAATAGATAGATTATTGGAGTGCGTTTGATGGAGTGTAAGGGACACAAAGTATTCTTCGCTTTCCTACTTGGTTACACAGGATACCCATGAAACCACAGGATAGCTTTCTGATCAGTGAAGAGTTCTGTGACGTGCTCGAGTTTTGTAAATTTTTTAATCGCTTGTACAGCTGGCGGTTTCGTTGCCTGCGCATTGAAGAAATGGGACATTCGCAGCCCGTTCTCGTACCTTTGTGGCCACGTTTACTTCATCATCAGCTTCGTTCTCCAACGAGACCGCCTGTTTAAAGATGTGCAATTTTGGAAGGGAATTAATAACGTGGTAGTTAACTGATCATCCGATGACGACGACAATGATGACGATGAAAATTAGTTGGATATGAGATTAGTTGTTGATAACTGACTGCAATAAAAATTGACTGTGTCAGGAAATCAGAGACTATCAGATCAGTTGAAGTTCCATTGAATAAAGTTTATTAATATTTTTATCATTTTAATTTGACAAAAGGATGGGGTATTAATGGCCTAGCCTGCGCTGCAAGCGTTAAAGGGAAAAGGGATGGGGGAATTCGGGCACGCGAGGAGCGCGAGGGACGCGGGAAGAGGAGGCAAGGGGAATTCCTCGCGCGCCTCATTTCCCCCACCCCTTTCCTCTTTTAACGCCTGCCACGCGGCCTATTAATGTCCTTGAGGTGCGGAGCATTTTACAACGCAAGCAGTGAGGGCTAGTTAACAGGCCAATCCCGAGTTCTAAAAACTTTCACTTTCAAAACCAGGCTAAGTACAAACATGAGCTGTACAAAACCTTTCTTAAGAAAATGAGTGTTATTTGCTTGAGGATAGAAAAAAATTTTTTCATGTCGATGGCTTCGTACTTAGCATTGCTTTCAAACAGAGGCTTGAGGCAACTTGTGGCCTATCCCCCCCCCCCCACCACCCATGTCCCGTCCGGAGCAGGCGGGGCTTTTAGTGACTGGTGCACAGTGAAAAAGTGGTGCTTATCATTCTGACTCGGTGGTGAAATTGAAGGGGATTTCCGAAGGAAAACCGAACATAACCGAAAACCAACCGAAGATTTCCAACTACATTGATTTCACAGTTTTAGTGGAGTTTTTTTCAAAAACTTTTTCAAAAAAAGTCTCAGTGAAAAAACTGTTCCGTTAAACTATTCAGTTAAATCCTTTAATCAGTTCAGGATATCGGTATAAACTCATTACCTGCTTGTTTCCTTGAAAGATCATCCAAGCGCTAATATTCGCCAATCAGGGCTTTCAGATGTAAATTGACACGTGATTTTTGGTCACGCTTGAATGGCATTGAATACCACGAGAAATTTACATACATGCACACATGTGGATGTTAAAATATATGACTTCATAAATACACACGGACAGGCGGATAAGCGGATGGTTACCAGTTAGGCTGGAGGCTCGACAAAAACGACGGAAACTTCGCGAGAAGCCATCGACGGGACAGTTAAAAAAGAATTCGATCGTACATGAAAACGTAGCTGTCGGCTGAACAGAAGTTTGAAGGAGAATGAAAGGAGGTGGGATGTAAATATGACTGTAATTGTTAACCTCAAAGTAGGCCAACCTTACCATTTCACACAATTATTTAATATTCAATTTAGATTTATACTTTAGTGTCCTCTTTCACGTTCATTTTCCCCAAACCTCGTCATCCACCTTCTAACGCCGCGTCCACTCTGAAATGACATTTAAAGCGACATGACTAGAAATTTCGTGACTATAGAAACTCTATTGGCCCTGCTCGAAAAGTATTCTTTACTTTCGAATTGTAAAACAAAAGGCATTTCACTCTTGGTCTGGGAATTGATACGCGAATCATTGAATCCTACGTGAAGGGGAACATTTTTTCCGCGGTTCTTGATAAATTTCTGTAGCGGATTCATTTCCGGTTCAGGTTGTTTTCTAGAATACTTGATATGCCCTGAAAGTTTCTAGAATTCACTCGTAGTAAATTCTTTCCTCGGATTTGAGTGTAACATAAAGTTCGATTTTTTTTTTCACCGAGGTAGATTCATTTTATTGCATTGTTTAATCCCTCAAGGTATCTGTACACCAGACACATCTTTACAAATAAATTATTTACTACTAGGAGCTCTCCAAAAAGTACTCAATTACATATTGCTTCTAATATCAGTTAGGTATTTGCGAAAATTGCACTGCCTTTCTGCTGTGATGAATTTCCCATTGCGTCTTTGAATAATTTACAGCGTAAAATATTTCTCCGCTTTTTTTTTTCGGTGTTGATCAATGTTTGACAGGCATTTACATAGAACGGCATGTGGTTTATCAAAAGCGCTAGGCAACTGGTTGAGGTACGGATAGACATGGCACTTCCTCTAGCCACGGCTAATATAATATCGTCATATTGAACAGATTGAAGAACTTATTGTGACTTCTTGGGCCTGTGTTGAGATGCAATCACCGGAACATTCTATTTTTTAAAATTTATGAATTGATTCTAAACAGATAAGAACGGACATCCTCAATACCGGAAGGAGTCGTTGAGAGGTAGGTAAGACATTCCAGTATAATTTATCTAGCGCGAAATTATCATAAATTACCGTGAAGCTTAACACGTGACCTACGCTGTTTTGCGTCAGGCCAAGCTTTGCCGTTCATCTTGGAAAAGTGGGAAAATCGCTTTATTTTTCTTTTTATTTTCCACGGGCATCGTCTTTTAAGCCGGTATTAGCCATCCTTGAACTTATCCCTGTAGTTTTAGTGTCTTAAGAATCTGTAAAGTCTTTTCCATGGCTTCGGAAACGAGAACGTCGATCATGGCTCATCCGAAAGTGGATGGGAAGAAAGACGGGCAAGATGAAATGGAGATTGACAACAATCAACACGTGTCCAAGACGGGAAGCGATAGCGATGGGGAATATCACGGTTAGAGTTCAAATGACACAAATGATGTACTTAGGGAAATCTGCTCTTATCCAGGAAACGCCGTGGTACGGAAATAATCGCTGTTTCTGACATTTTACCAACAGAACCCGGTATGCGAGTCGGAGAAGAATACCAAGCCGTCATTCCCGACCTTGTTTCAGATAGTAAGTTGCAAATTAAACCAATAGGCTCTGTTATGATTAATTATCTTAGTCCTTTCCTGAAAATAGGCATCGGTAATTATTTCACCTTGCAGTTTGTGGCGAATTTCTTACCTTAAGGGTCGAATAATTGGCTTACGTACAACGAGCTCGAGTATTTCAATTACCGGCCGGCGAGCGACGCGCGCATAAATATCCTACATTAACTTTCCTTTCAAGCCTCGCTATGGAAAATCATTTTATATCGCAGCTGCTTTTAAAAAATTGTATTTTAAATCAAGGCAGGTTTCGTGTCTTTGCGGTTCTTAAAGTTGTAAATTTCGAGCTTCTTGGCTTTTATGTTGTGTAACTTTAAAGCCGTTCATTTTTCCGATGTCAGTTTCGCTGTCTTAGAAGCCAAGACATGTCATACACTTCTAAACGCACTTACATTTCTGTAGTAGTTCCAAAGTAAGAATTTTTTGGTGAAAACGCTGAAGTCAAGTTGCAATTGTTGGTTGACAATAAGTGGATGGAAGGGATGAGAGTTCTGGGAAAATATTTTTGAATGACCTGATGGGGCCTCTTGGGGGCCAGGCGAAGTGGGGGGGGGGGGCAGGGGGGTGGTTAAGATGCCTCTGACCTGTCATTTCATTGTAACCCATCTTTGTGTTTTTTGTTGTTATTTCCTCTGTCTTTTGTCGCTTCTTCAAGGCCGTAAGCCTTGCTGGAATTCTACCCTAGCAGGACATCTCTGGTGATAATAGTAACGATAATGATTTTATTATCATTTACTTTCATATTCAATTTTATGATAAAAAATCCTCAGTGTAATGTTATGAGTATCTAGATAACTAGTCTTTGGTCACTTACACTGTGTGAAACACAAGTACCAGTCCTCAAATTTCATATTAGTAACGTATGAAAGTAGTCCAAAAGGTGCCAAAATGTATGTCTGATGCGTTGGAGGGAATTCAAAAGCGCGCCCTTAGGATAATTCTTCCAAATGTACATTATGATGAGGCATTGATATTAAGTGGCCTGCCGTTTTTAGAAGACCGTAGGGCTGCTGCTTGCGAATCATTTATACGTAATTTAAAACTATCCAACTCTGTGTTTGGCCTTGCCATGAGTGGAAGGTAACTACCATTCACTCGTACTCGTTACGAAGCTGCCGGAACTATAATAACAAAATTTGTAAGACAAAAAGATTGTTAGAATTTGTATCTGTGAAGTATTTAGATTTTTTGTCATAAGTTAAATGTTAATTATGTGTAATTTGCACACAATCCTGTTATCCAGCTCTTAGCTGCAAGGGGTTCTGAATAAACAACTCTATTCTATTATTCATGGATCTTTTGTTTCTCTTTTATTCAGACAAAGAAGAGGCCAAGCATGACCCAAACCTTCGGCACAATGCACTTCTTGTTTGGGCACCTGTAGAGGAAATCCCAAATTCAAAATGTGGGTGTTATTATTTAATACAGTCTTATAGCATAAATGATCAAAAAGACATGCGGGGTGTTGATTTACTTTTAACAATCTGAGAGGGAGTGTTAAATAGATACATTCAGGAGACATTTAAAAGAGAAAGGCATTTCTTTTCTTTTTTGCGACCTCTTCAAAACTAATATACTATCAATGAACATATCCAGAGAGTTTGTAAATTAATAGCAAAATATCCAGTCCATCAATGTCTACATCTGGGCTGTGTAGAGATCCATTTCACTCTTTCAAATCTCAATTTCACTATCAGAATCCTCATTTTAGGGTTATTGTGTTGTCATCCTGACTTTATCTTTACTTTGAACTTGACATGAAACAAGATGCAATGCACATTCATCAAGCAAAAAACTAAATAAATTGAATGATTTTCTCCTTTTTGCTAATTCCTAGTATTTTGGGGTAACTCTCTTGGGGGTGTTTATTAGAGAGGGGCATTTAATACAGACTTTGCCTTGTAGAGGGGGCATTTATTAGACAACAGGCATTTTTTTGAGAAGGGGTGTCAATAAATTAGATCATTTGCAGTGTACCCTTATATTGTCTACTCAGTGTGTAGAGGAAGTAGTGTCTGTTAGCCTGGGGCTAGTGGATTCTGCTGTCAGGCTAATGAGTTCTGTTCTTAACTTGCCTGAAGGGCAAGTGACATTTTTCTGGGAATGTAAATCACAGACGAACTGCAATCAGTCCTGCTCATTATTGTTTTTTGTGCTGGTTCAAATGATTTTTGGGCTAGTACATGCTAGCTACAGCTTGTCTGTCTGGCAAGTGGGAAAACTCCTTTTCCTTTGCACCCAGTTTCTTAGCATCTGCTTCTCTTCACAAGGCACTCTACATCGCAGCTAGTGAAATGTCATTTAAGCCCCCAGTTCACAACCAAAATGTGCAAGCATGCTTAATAATATTACAATGAGCATATGTATGAGTGCACAAGTAAAAACACTTCCAACTGCATGGAAGGTGACTCAGACACATACAGAGAAAAAAGGGATTACAGAGCTGTATTGGTCATTGGACAGTATCTGACTAAAATTTGCCCATTGTCTAGGAAATTATGCTTGTAAATTCGGACACGGTTTTTGAGATTTGCCATTACACTGACTTAAAGTTTCACGTAGCTTTGTGTTTCACCTCTTAGTGGATGACTATGTGCTGGTTGCTAAAGACAAGCATGGGTACAACGTTGAACAGGTACATTCACAGGCAGTTAATAAAGTGCACAATTTAAGGGTGGAACTAAGATTACCATAGGTTCTGTCCCTGCTTAAGTAAGTACATAGATAAAAAAACCCAAATTTTCAGGTTTACAGTTAACTCTTTCTTAACAGACAACACTAAACAGGGCTTCTCATATTTCATGCGCTTACAGAGCCGCGGAATTCAGGTAAATCAAATTTGCCCAGAAAGTTCCCACGAAATTGGCTGTTTTTAACTGATTGGTTTTTGGGGTAGTTAGCATCGAAAATTTCCGTGAATTCAGCTGATTTTTCCATGAATCTGTCTCTGAAAATCCCGCAAAATTTGACTGTTTTTTCCGCAACTTATCAGAAGCCCTGACTGAAAGACAGACACCTCGGTAAAACACTAGACACATAAAGTTGGTCCCTGACTTTCTTTACCCCTTTTACTTTACTCTTTATAAGACGGACATCAATCTTAGATGGACACTTAGTGGGGGTCCCAAAGATCTCTGTCATAAATTGAGTTGATGTAAGTTTTGATCTGATGATGAATGTATTCGGACTGTGAATTCTTTAGATTCAACATCTATTCTTGGATCTTAGTAAAGAAATGCAAATTTAAATTTATAATTTTTATGAATTTTTTTTCATAGACCTCTATTAAGTTTGAAAAGGTTAAATACATGTAGATCTACATGTTTAAATCTGTACAGATGTGTAAATGCTGTTGAACTGATCTGGGATGTTACTGAAATGTCACCAGTTTTTTTCTGGGAGGGATTGTCATAGAATGAACCAAGGGGTGCCAGTGTTTTGTAAAGGGGTGTTGAAATTAGCCAGTGAAATACATGTACATTTTGTACATGTGTGTTTAAGGGGCATACGAGCCAAAGGCCCACATGGCTGGAGCTTATCCTGGTTTCCTTAGCATGAAGCATGTCTAGGTGTATTGCTACTTCCCCCTGGACAGGATGCCAGTCCATCACATGGTTACCCTCCCCCCGGCAGTATGTTGCCTGTGCCCATTTATACACCTGGATGAAGAGACACAACAAAGTGGAGTAAAGTTCCTTGCCCAAGGAAACAACGCGGCAGGCGAGGCTTGAACCCCAGACTGCCAGATTCGGATTTTGCAATGTTATCTGCTCAGCCAGTACACGCTTCCACTTGCCTTGTTCATGTATTTTCTCACATATCTGCTGTGTATTGATGCAGTGAATAGTGATCGTGGGTGTGTAATGTTACAGCATACATGCTGTACATGTATCATGCAATTTAAAGGCTTTTGCTATTATAAGTGTAACGTATAATAAAATTAATGTTTTGTCATTTTCAGGCATTAGGAATGTTGTTTTGGCACAAGCATAACCTTGAGAAATCACTAACTGATTTGGCTAACTTTACACCATTCCCAGGTAATCAATCAATCAATTTATTAACATTTGTCACAACCAAGTACTCTCCCACTGTAAACAAAGCATTTACCATTTACAATGCAAAAGGTGACTGCTTGAGTTAACTTTAACTACTTTCGTTTTAGATGAGTGGACTATGGAAGATAAGATCCTGTTTGAACAAGCTTACAGTTCTCATGGAAAAAGCTTCAAACGAATTCAGCAAATAGTAAGTACATCATTGACATTGTTGAGCACTTGAAAGGAAGTCTGTCACTATTAATTATTTTGAGCCATTAATTGGTAATGTGCAAAATTACTTTCAAATTGAAGGAACTTCAAACAAGTGGTTGCGTGAAATTAAGATGGAAAAATACCAGACATGGCCATAGTACAAAATAAAAAAATGGGATGAGTGCATTGTTGAGCTAGATAAGCATGTAGATTATTAAAGACATGAGAGAGTTGTCAATTAGGTTTTCAGTGCTTCTCACACTTCTTGAGTGTTGTCTTAGTAATTACCAAGTCATATGTACTTTATATTTTTATAAAATGGTTAATGAATTATTGGTGATGTAGCTTGCATGCTTGAATATCTCTGTAAAGCATGTGTGTGACACACATGCTTCACAGAAATATAATGCCCGAGAATCAGTCTGACTAACTAATCATAGCACATGCATTTCTTGGCATTTTTGTTGAACTAATGGATTGTAATGCATTCTAAATTACAGTTTAAAAAATTGACATACTACACCTCCTCTCATTATAGTAATAAAGTTATTTGAGTGCATTTCGAAACTTGTTTTTTCTGAAACCTTTGTCTTTTTTTTCTTGTCAGTTACCAGATAAATCAATTGCCACTCTGGTCAAGTATTACTATTCATGGAAGAAAACAAGAAGTAGGACAAGTTTGATTGATAGACAAGCAAAGAAAATGGCTGTTCAAAAAGAACCAGTCAAGTGAGTTTTGTCTTCTTGGAAGCCCCGACTTTGGAAAGTAATCCTAACAGTATACAAATTTATTAAGGGCCTCCCATTTTATTTTGGCAGAAAAGTGTTTTCTTTCAATCATCATCCTCAAAGGTGAAGATCAGATGAATGACTTTTTTATAATTTCGTACTGCTTAGTGCATACAGTATTTTTCTTACCACTTTGTTCATATCTTTTTGAACCAGTGATCCAGAAAGCGACAATAGCGACTCCAGTGATAGTGACTTTGAACCTGAAAAAGAGGTAGAGTTTCTTCAATGCTGTTCAGTTTTACTTTTTACTGGACCAGTAACTGTTATTCTCACACACTGAATGCCATTTGTCTACCAAAAAATGACATGGCAATGCAACAGTGCTTTATTCACAAAAAAACCCTGAAAAGTCATCTTTCAGCCATCAGAAAAGTTTACAATGGACCAAGGAAAAAGAGAAAAACTTTCCTTGGCAAAAGGGGGAAGAGTTAGTACACAGCAAATTAATGTCATACACCAAAACATTCTTGGTTAAGTTTTATCCCGGACCATGCTTACTCAACTTTTTGGCCTTCATTTTTGGCTAAACAAGTACAGATTTAGTGAAAATCAGGAAAAAATAACCTCCAGAAAATATGTTGGATTGAATGAATATTGTAGATCAGATGAAAGTAAATTTGAACATGTTGGGGAAAAAAGCATTAAATTAATGCTATGTGGGATCATAATGTTGTGCGATCATTCAGATGTGTGTTATAATTTTATTTCTCTATGTTTTACAGCAAACAAGACAAACAAATGGCCAGACTAAACCAAAGTTAATAACCAAACCACCTACAATGCAAGTATGTATACAAACAAAATGATCTTGAAAATTAATCTGCACTCCACTCTAATTACCTTTACTAGGTCTTCGTATATGTTTCACTGTGATTTATGTTCATTTGGTTGTACATGTATATATTATTTTTCTTCAACTGTTGCATCATAATAATGCCATTGAAATACTGTCATTTATTTTTTAGGGAACAACTACAGCGACCATTTCAGGTCCTTGTGTTAACTGTCAATCCCAATCACTGCAACTTCATGCGACTCAGAAGGGAAACTTGTGCAGTGCTTGTTATCAATTCTTAAGGTACACCTCTAAGGTGACCTGTATTGTCTAAGAAAGGTCAAGTAGTTGACTCACATGTGTAGAAACTATCATCTACATGTATCATCTTTTGAATCTCTGTAAGTTTGTTGCAGAGACATGTTATATAGGTTTTTACAACTACCTTACTTATCCGCAAATAGTTTGCACCTGAGTAAAGAGTGTGCTGTGATTGGTTTATGTTTGTAACCGCTCATTTCAGCAGATGTTTGTGGGACAGAAAGACAAATGACAAAGACCTAAGATCGTCTGCGCGGGAGGCTAGCCCCTTTGTGAGGTCCATTCAGAAAAAAACTGCACAACTTGCAGAATATCAGGGCATGTTATTTTCTGTGTGAAAGTGCATTTTGATTCGCCACAGTTATCAAGTCTGGTCTTATTTGCAGACGAACTGGAACACTACGACCAAGACATGAAGGAAAGGAAGCTAGGCCTGGCCACAGGGGAAATAAAGTTAAACGGAAGGCTCCAAAGGTTTGTATTACCTACAAA